GGGGGGGGGCGTTGTCAAGTACTGTTTGCCATAGCAGAGAGGCACGGGGGCCAGCCTAATTATCAAACCACTCGTTATTGCTCCAGCAGCTGCACAATCCAAAAATATTATTCATAGCGAGTGTTAAGAAACATCCCATTCACGAAATCCGACTTAATCCTTGTATCCATAGCAGTTTCAAGGCAACTTGGCACCGGTGCAGAGTATGCTTTATTAAACAGTGCCTAAAAGAGGTTTGTATGCATAATGTGATGTGCAACCTATTTTGACATACACATGCAGGCAAGATCACTATGCAACATGCATTGCTATTAAGCTTGAGGGGTTGCTATAAAAAGCTAGTCTAAACCTCTCTGGAGAATCAGGTTTTATTAAGATGGAGGAGAAATACAATAATGTCATCCCATCTGCAGCATCCACGTATTTCCTTTGACTCAATTAGATCTCCTGGGATCTTACTGAATGGATTTGTTATAAAAGAAGCAGGATTCTTGTAAAGAGCAGCTCTAGCTTCCGTCGTTGGTACATACAATACAGGACAATTTCTGTACAGTACATAACGCCATCACACCCGGTTATTTCTACCATTTGGCGTGCGCCTCCTTCTGAGAGATGTGTTTGGGAGTGGATTCCAGAGGCCGATGCAGAGTTGCTGGCACCTTCTAGTACTAGTTTCCTATTCTTAATCTCAGAATATTACTACTGTAATCCCATCATAATCCTCCACACGTACCACGCTTTTGTTGTTTACATCAAATGTTTTCCCCTCATGCAGGGGAACTGAAGTCTCGCTCACCGATCATTATCATCATCCTTATCATCATCATCATCGTCGTCATCATCATACAGCATTTACATTTGCACCCTTTTTGCGACACAGTATAAAAATAGGCCAGCTTCAAACCCAGATGGATCACTTGATGCCTTTCTGAACATCTCGCCTTGAATTTGGAGGCATACTTTGCCTTTCATGAAAGCATTTGCAGAATGGCGACCAACTGAAGGGCCTCTCAAAATGGAGAGAGAGAGAGAGAGAGAGAGAGAGAGAGAACTTCATCTTATCATGTTTTCGGGAGGAAATCTACTCGAGATGTGAGCTAAGCAATCATGATAACACTACCTCATCCGGGCCCAGTTCCACTAAATAATGCAGATTCCAAGATGGATGTAAATGTTCTTTCTTGTCCTTTTAAAGATTATTGACTGAGTGTACTCTCTCAGTCAAAAAACAAAAACTAAATCCAAGGCCTTGGCTGTTTTCAGTAGATATCTAATCACAGGTTTGTCTCTTTTTTTTTGGCCTGTGAAATTCAGGGACAAACATCTGCATCACTGACACATTTATCTCTTTTTCTTTATAGTTCATACAAGTATCTGAGCCCTGGTGGAACTTTGAAAAGAGGAGGAAGGTAAATTAAATAACATGACAGTGCTATAGGGTATTGATTTGTGCAATTCCAATTTAAAAACAAAACCACTACCTCCTGATTCAATCATTTTTTTCTTGGGAAGATGGGACTTATATAAATGGCCAGATTCATAAGATTAAAAAATGCATGGTTTCTGGGTTCCTAGAAAAAATATAGGGACACCAGAGGAACACCACCCTTCCCACAGACACACAGTCACAGAATGGGAGAATGCCTCAACTGGAAACAATACATCCTATGACAATATTCAGCCCAGACAAAGAAGCAATCCAAATACGGCTGCTCCACAAAAGCCAGCCCAGATTTGAATGAGGGGCCAACCCCAACGTACCTCATAGGCAGGTCCTCATTCCTGACAGAGATCCCGGCCGCAGAGGGGGGACAGCGCATGCTGTTGGCATACAAACTCTGCACCAGGGCCAGCTCAGAAGAGTGTTCCAACATCGGTGCTCTGGAAAAATCCACCCGGTGTAATGGACACTTTCTTCTCTTTCCCTCTTTCCTCTATGTGTTTCTCTCCCTTTCTCTGTCTCCCGCCCACTCCTTCTCCTCGGTTTAGTGCAGCAGAGCGGCGCCCACCCCCTTTGCTGACTGGCGTGGCTGAAATAATCCTCTCTGACAGCTCATCGTGCGCTAATGCATTGTGCTGCCTGCGGCAGCCCAGTTTGCAGGCTGTAAAGCTGTGGCCACAGTAGCACTCTTGCACTAATTGACACCCATATTAGGAAAACTTCAGGATATTGGACATGGGTGATTTATTCCCACTGTCAGATTGGGGAAAATTAGAGGAAACATCGACACAGTTGCCACAGGATCTCATCCACAAGTCCTGGTTTTGTGGCACACTTCTGTGTATGTTGGCATTTATTTGAATCTGTCAACTGCTCCAAATAAAGGCCAAGGCAAGGCACACTCCTGCAAATGCTATCCTAAAAACTACGTCCATTATAACAGTTTCTAATATTAAACATTCTGCTCATCACTGAGCACCTGTACATATTGTAGGTAAATAATATATATTCAGCTCCTGAGGGGATGCACATGTCACTGTCCCCCCCTGAGCTCGCTGATAATAAACCAGTGGGTGACAGGTAGAGAGCTTTCCCTGACAACCTTGTGTCATTATTATTCCGGAGTAGATAGGGATAAAGATAGCTTGCTAGAAGATGAGCAAACATCGTAGTCAGCATGAATACTTGTTAAGTATGGACAGATTACAGTACAGCCCCCATTGTTCAACATTTGAGACTGCAGTCAGACTGAAATACCTGCAGTGGCTTAAATTAATTTAACTGCCTGTGACTCTGCTACTCTATTCCAGAGCACAATGTACGTATACACAAAAGACATGTATACAGGATATAAAAAGGTTCTCCACATTAGATTTAAATTACTCATCAACTGACGACAGGAGCGGCTCTAGAAGTTTTATCAAAGAAAACCGTGCGTGTGAATTTGCATTGGACCAGGCTCATTTGCCTATGTTCTGATGCATATGATGAAGGCAAGCTGGTAACACATTCTCTCATAACTACCACACTCAAAGCATGTTTTTCCTGTCTTTATACCATCCGATTAAAAATGTAAAAGTAATTTGTCACAATATTCTTTGCACAAAACCCAGGAGAAAGGAAAAATCTAGGTCTCTTTCTCCCATAGGTGTTGTGTCCTGTTACAGTAACATGACATTAAGTAGGAAAGTCATCTGAAAACAGGGTCACGTCGATGTGTGCTGGTATCATAGTTGAGAAGACCAGCATGAAGGGGCTCCGCTTCCTCTGATCATGCCACAAAATCCTCATCATTTCAGCCCTGCTCATGCTGCTGACATGAATTTTTTAAAGACGGACGTGAAATCCAGTTTTTTTTATGATGTGTTGCTGCTTAGTATGACTGTCAGTGCCACAGGCATCATGTAGAGCACAGAATAACTGAATGATAACGGAATCTTTCTTCCTGCTCTGATCTGCCAACATGTAAAAGCACAAAAAACACTCAGTATGATAATGTTGTTTCCACTAATGCTTTCCAGTTAAAACCTCATTCAAAACAGGTTCCAGAAGTAAAAAAACAAACTGGTATGTGAATGCTATGAAATGCATTTGGGATATAATTAACTTGTGAAAGCTGCAAAGATGCACTGCTGTAAGATAACAACCACATCCTGTTTGCATGCACAGTAAAGGGGAAGATGTCAGTGGGTCTTCGTGCATGCTGCGGTTGAAACAAATGCTCTCAATGCCTATCATAAAATAAGTCAAATAACAGCACGTTTACAGGTCTGCAGGTGGCCTCATGATCAGTGAAAGCGCCACCAGCTTTCCCTTTTTACCACTTGTGGGCTCCCTTGGGACTGATTGCACAAACAAATACTGTCTGTATTTTTGTCGGTTAATACCGAAACTGTTACAGCTCAGTGCACATTGTGTTCTGTAGCATGCACTCAATGCAAAGGGCTTTGTAGAAGTGAAAGGAATTTGACACTTGAAATAAATGACCTGTTTATGTATCAATAAGCAGCATATTCTGTAATGTAGCAGCATTGCATCCTGTTAAAGAGGTGGTATAGATGGATCTGAACAAAGTGAGAACATTTTTGCCTGATAAGAAATAAACACTTGATCATTTTATATGTCAGATGTGCCAGTGCTCTATCTTTACCGGCACTGGGCAGTTAAATTTATGATCCAACAGATGCTAGCATGAAGCTTTTAACTGTACGAGACCTGACACCATCATGTGCGATTGAAGACGGACTGAGACTGAGTGGAGAG